CGGCTGCTGCACAGGGTGGCCGTCACCTGACAAGCCGCCCCCCTCTCCCGCTGGCCTGGGTCCTGGCCAAAGAGAAACCGTGCTTTCCCAGCCCGCCACTCTAACCCGTCTCGTGGGACAAACCTGGCACAGGGGGCAGGGTTACGCCTGCTGTACCCTGCAGCCCCGAAAATGAGTGAATTCTAGGCTCTGGGGGCTCAGGAGCCACCAAGCGCGGTGCGTGGGGCCGCCGGTGGTGCTGACGGGCTGAGACGGTGCCCCGATTAACTCTGTGATGTTTCGTTTGGTTAAGAAGATGAACACTGACGTCGGAAATCTGTGATGATAGAAATGTTTCGGGTGAGGCTAAGTGGAAAATAGAAATAGTAAGTAAACAGGGGTATACTTCGCACGAAAAGACAGCGAAAATTGTAAAGGCCACACGATAACCAGCGTTGACTGGGAGCTCGCTCTGTGCTGCTCACCTCACGAGCACGGGCCCATTTACCCCTCAGAACAACCCTGTGAGAAAGCCCATTTTACAGGTGCGAAAGTCGAGGCTCAGAGACGTCAATATTTTGCCCACAGAGGTTATTTATGACGCTCCTACTGTGTACACCGGGGTCGTTTATGACGCTCCTACTGTATACCAAGCGCTGAGCTTCAAACAAGACTTAACAGGCTCGTTTCCAGTGAGGGAAACTGATATTAAGTTAATAAATACAATACAGGGTGTGCAGTGCTAGGGTGGAGGCAGAACTGGAAGGACTAGTGACTGAACTCAGGGTAGGGGGCATCAGCGAAGGCTTCCTGGAGGTGGAGAAATGAGGGCTGAGTATTGAGAGACGAGACCGATCCAGCGTGGGTGCACAGGTAAGGTGAAAGGTGAGATGCAGGAGGAATATCTCATAATTTAACACCGCCACCCATCATTTATAGAGTATCTAGGACGTGCCAAGAGCATTTTACACCATTATCTTATTTAATCTTTCAAGTCCCTATGAGATGGGTACTAGTTTTATTCCCATTTTACTGATGAGGAAACTGAGGCTCGGAGCATCTGCGGCCCTTGCTGGAGGTCACACAGGCTCTTGGGCAGGAATCCGCAGAGATCTGCGTCATCTCATCAGAGCTCCTTTTGGTTTGCCTTTCAGCCGAAGAGTCCTTGGCATGTGACAACCCTGGGCTACCCGAAAACGGGTACCAAATCCTGTACAAGCGGCTCTACCTGCCGGGAGAGTCCCTCACCTTCATGTGCTACGAGGGCTTCGAGCTCATGGGCGAAGTGACCATTCGATGCATCCTGGGACAGCCCTCCCACTGGAACGGGCCCCTGCCTGTTTGTAAAGGTAAAGAAATCTGCTGGGAACACGGGGACTGCGGGACCCGGAGTTGTCAGGACCGGCTTGCAGGGACTCTGAATCTGCTCCCAAAAGCTGAGCTACCGCATTGCATTAAATCTAAGGTACCACCATGATTTTCTGCACTACTGAGAAAGAAAAAAATTACTGCCAATTAAACTATGGCACAATACCCTCTCCTTGCTTAGCATTTTTATTTTGACTTATAAAGAGCTCTCTCGGGCCTAGATTTTTATCAGAAACGAGGGCCATTCTGCTTTTGATTCCTGTTTCAACAGCGTGGTTTAAATGTTCCGTCTCCTGCACTCCCTTCTCACAACCACTTGGTTCCCAAGGATTACAAGGCTTAAAGAAATTAAGCACTTAGATAAACTGAGAAATATAGCAGAAGCTCACCCAAATGCTTTCTCGTATCATGTGATCTGGGAAATGATTTCATATTAAAATGGATTTAAGTTTGGTTTAAGTAAAACAGACACGTCTATAAAGTGAACCAGCGCTGTGTGGATAAGGCCCGAGGCTAGAGAAAGTCAAGCCGTCCAGGTTTCAGTCCTGCCTCTGCCGCTCAGAAGCTGTGTGAGGTCGAGAAGGCCCTTCACTCCTCTGATCCTCTGTTTGCTCATCCGTAAAATGGGGGTGATAATAGTATCTGCCTAATGAGACTGTTGTGAGCGTTAAATGAGCAAATAGATACCTGACCCGTGGCGGGTGCTCAGTAGTTATTCGTTATGGCTGCTGTCGCCCTTGTTTCTTTCTCTGTCTTCTCTCCCCTCGGGAAGTTGGGAAGGTGCAGCATCCAGGCATTTGACTAAATTCGGTACCCCAAGATAAATAACACAGGACACCAGCTTCGGGAAAGCGTGGCGTGGGCCTTGCTCTTCTTTTCGGTTTCATAACACGCACAACGAATCCACTTGACACTGACCGGTGCTCTCTGTTTCTCTTTCAGTTAATCAGGACAGCTTTGAACACGCGTTAGAAGGTGAGGTCCTACTGGAAAAAAATCCAATAAATCAAGCTCAAAGCAAGAAAAAAACAAAAAAAAACACCCCTGGGCAGGTCCTAAACTATCCTGGTCCAGGTGCTTACAAAAAATAAACCAAAAAAAAAAAGAGTGTAATTCTCAGCTGCCCCCATGACCACCCCTCCCAATGATGGGTCTGGACTCAGTTGCAAAGAACCAGCACCAACTCCTCCAGCCTCCGCCTCTCCCCCCGGAGGTGGTTCTCCAACGGCTAAGGCTCCCTGACGTCAGTGAGCGGGTGCAGGACTGGGAGAGCGGGTGCTCACTGGGAGCCAGGCGCCCGTGCGGGCTGAGCGCCTGCGGCATGAGGGCCTCACTGGCTTATGTGTTCAGTAGCAGAAGCGGCAGCCGAGACGTCCTTGGAAGGGGGAAGTATGGCCCTGGCTATCTTCATCCCGGTCCTGGTCATCTCCTTACTGCTGGGAGGAGCCTACATCTACATCACCAGGTAGGGAGCTTCGGGGTGAAGTGGGGCTGCCGTCCACTCATTCGGTAGTGTCCTGAGGGGCTGGGCATTGCACCTCTCTGGACCTCAAGGTCTCCCCCTGTAGCTTGGGGACAGTGGCATGTGTGTGATTGAAGCGGTGGTGCGAGTCAGCGCACGTCGGGACAAATATCTATGCTGGAGACCTACCAACCCTCCGTGGTAGGAGGGCTGAGCATGCACCAGCCAATGAGACAGAGGCTCTCCCTGACCTCGAGGAGCTGTGGTTGGGTGGGAGAGAGAGACATTTCACATCGCCAGGCACACCAACCCATTCATTCCGTCATTCACTCACTCATTCATTCACTTACTCAACGACTCTATGCATTGGCAATCGAATGGGTACCAGGCATTGTCCCGGGTGTTTGGCGATCGTAGAACTTGCCTTTGGTGAAGAAGGAAGATACTGAACCATGGCTAAGATAGTCACTAATGTATTCAATTTCACAATTATTGAGCACCGGCTATGTGCCAGGCAGTGTCCTGGACTCTAGGGACATCATTGTGAAAAAACAGAACAGAACTGAAGGAAATCTTTGCCCTCCTGGTGCCCCGGTTCTAATTAGGGGGGGAGGGGGGAGGAATAGACACTAGTACACAGGAAAGTATGTAGTACATTAGAAGGTGATAAATGCGGGGAGAAAAGAAAATCAGGAAGGGAGAAAAAAGGAGCTGGGATAGGGCAGTGGATCCACCTTAAATGGAGTAGGTAGAGGAGGCCCAGTGGAGAAGAGGCATTTGGGGAAGGGCTGGATACAAAGGAAAGATAAACTATGCAAATATCTGGGATTAGAGGATTCTGGGCAGAGCAGAAGCTTATGCAAAGGCCCTGAGGCAGGTGTTTCCCTAATATAATCTTCCCTGCCCTCTTGGAGCTCACAGTCTAGCAGGCCAGAGGAGAAATACACAAATTATAATACCCTGTGGTAAACACATTGGAGGAAGGAGTGTGGTAACAGAGGAGGAACCGCTTTAAATAGGTGGTCCCGGCAGGCTGCTCTGAGGCAGCCAGTATCAGTAAGTGCTCAATAAATGCCCTCGGCATTGAAGAAGGACTGGAATCCTTTTCAGGTGAAAACAATCCCGCTCAGAGGCGGTACCGAGGCTTAATTACCACCGCCTGGTTAGAAGCTGAGAGCAATTATGATCTCGGCTTTCACCCCACCCGGATTCTCTCGCCTGCTGAAAGCTGTTTCCACACAAGCCTCCTTGTCCTTCGAGGAGGTGCCGCGCTCAGAAAGTGGCACTAACTCTCCCCCTCGGGCAGCGACTTTCAACCGTGCGCTGCAAGAATTTTTAAAACACGCAAGACCTGACTGTTTAGTCAGGGGCACTGACCCCTTTGCCCTTAGATTGTCAAATTTAAAAACTGGCAACAGCCAACACCGCAAGAGCCGTCTGGTGGGCATGCCCCGTCTTGAACCATAAATGCGTAGGTCGTGTAATAGAGCTGCCTCTTATTGGTCACGGGGCATAATAAGATTGCGTCTGATTAATTAATTCTTGGTACCAGAAATCCTTATATACAAGCACAGGCACCTGATTTTTTAAAAAGTCACTTTGGAGCAAAAAGAGTAGGTCATTACTATTATTATTTTTTTTTAATCAATCGAAATTATACCTATTTTTTTGGCAGATCTGCAAAACATATATTTGTTGGCGTGCCGCAGAATTTTGGTAATTAGTCTATGTGTGCCATGCGACGAACGGCGAGGAAGGTGTCCCTAGTCCGAGGAAGTGACTCCTCTCTCCTCCTGTCTCTTGCCCAGGTGTCGCTATTACTCCAGCCTCCGCCTGCCCCTGATGTACTCTCACCCCTACAGCCAGATCACCGTGGAGACCGAGTTCGACAACCCCATCTACGAGACGGGGGTGAGTTGGTCTCTCCTCTCTCCGGGCGCCTCCCTCTTTGCCTGCTCTGAATTCTCTGCCACCCAAACTGAAGGATCTGTCTCCCTTGGCCCGCGGCGGCCCTGGCAGAAAGGCGTGGGCACGGCCAGCGGTCCTGCCCCCCCCCCCCC